GTGATCAAGTATATTAAGAGTATATCTTATATTAAAATAAAATTATTCTATAGTAAACTAATTAAAAAAGTATATAAGATGTTCTGATGTTTTTTTTGTATTGGCGACATGCCATAATGTCATTATATAATTTTCTATCATGTTTGGTATATCAATATTTTGTAACGTATGGTATTAAATATCAATAATTAATACAACAATTTTGTAAGTTTATGCCAAACTTAACTCATCTTGACACACCATTGACAATTATGTACTAGATTTTTTCTCTATGCAACTAATATTAGAAAATGCAATTTTTTAAAAAATGTTATGAACTTCATTTATTGATAGGTAAAAAAAATTGTTTTGAAAAAACTAAAAAAAATTTCTATGTCACATACGATATTTATTTTTATATAGAGTATTTTATGCAAATACTCATAAAGATATGAATAAAAAATAAATTTATATTAAAAAAAATATCATTTTGTTAAAGAAATTGTAGAAGCTATATAAATTTAGATAATATAAAAATCAAATTCTGTAAACCAGATATGTGATCAATAATTTTAAAAAAAATTATCTATAAATTATTGCATATTTCACTTTATAAACTTTATCTTTCCGGTCACGTGTGGACTCAGCATTTTTTTTTCCAATAGTGGACACGGACTATAACGAAAAGATTCCAAAAGAATACGTTAAATTCTAGAGCAAAATTGAAAATATAGTATTCAAATGAAAATATTTATATATATCATCAAATGGTTCATTTTCATATTAAACATTTGAAAATGATGTTTGAATTTGTATAAATAGAAATTGTGAACAGAAATCTTAAACATCATTTAAGTATATCAATGTTAGTATATATATATAGTTTTAAAAATTATCTAAATAGTTGTTCTACGCAACGCGTGGATTTTCACTAGTTAATAATAAACATTTCTTACAAGTTACAACAACAAAAAATCAGGCTCAACACACATGAGCAGTCAATAACCTAAACAAAATAAAATGC